TGACAGTCACACAGCACCACTTTGTTAAACACAACCAAAGCCCTGAATGCAGTCCTCTATTTTAACACTCTTTCCTACATACCATTTAATCTTCTCATCAACATTTTCCCCTCAATACAAGTCACAAAAGGATTCATATAAGGATATTATGCTACCTAAAAAACATGATTGTATTATTTTGTCTGCAAATTATTTAGATGCCAGCTTCAGCCCACTATTCAATGCAGCAACATTACAATTCAGTTACTTCAGGTTAACAGCAACTTAACCTGTTAAGCACCAAGCCTGTTTTTCATGTTTCAGGCTCGAAAATGACATGCCCAAAACAAATGACTACAACTTAACTTCTAAAAGGGTTATATGAATCATTTCTTTTATCAAAGCAAGGTTACATCTGTGAGTTGGATGTAGAAGTGTCAGAATCAATATAGATGTTTTTTATTTTAAAGAAAATTCAGATTTTACATAGTAAAAAACTGTAAATTATAGTGTCCGTCCAAAAATTCTTTTTTACAGATAGTGAAAACTACCCTTGGATGATGGGTTAGTAGACTAAAGCTTTAGGAATCCAAAGTACAACATATAATAAGTACCCTGTATCAAGATTGATGCAAAACAAGTGACATTTGACCTTTTTAGAGAGGTTTAGCCAAAACCACCCCACCTCTGAGGTGATTTGGGTGAAAATGTTTTTTTTTCCATATCTCTGGCCCCCCTTGCTCGATTTGGATGGTTGACACCTCTTTCTGACCGTTAAAGCCAATAGAATCGAAGGGGGAGGGCCTCCCACACACAAGTTGGCCGTGTCTCAATTCAGGGGCTGCACCCTTCGGTGTACGTAGCCTACGCGGTCCACGGAGCACCCAGCCCACGTAGAGCGAGTAGGCTGGAGCGAGAGGCCTGCGAAATGAGACGGTCTAGTCTACGTCTTGACGTCACCAGCAGTTCCCGCCCCTACGTTTTGCTGCCTCTGTTGCCTAGCAACCACTTCCTTTGAAGACAGAATTCGTTTGAAGTTCTTCTGAAGAAAGAATTGACAAAGATGGAGAACGAACTTGCCACCGAAGTGACGTTGCTACTCTTAATAATGTTCATGGAAAATGTGGTTCCAAGACCTAAGAACAGGCGAGTCCTGTACTTCAGGCTTAGTGAAGACCATTTCCAGGTAAGAAAAATATAGCTTAAGCCCTGTACTTTATTGTTAATATTGGCTTCAGAAAACTATAGTCAAGTATGCTAACTGTAGTTCATATGGCTAATCCCATTTCATTTTCACAATATTATTATATACACTGACAAATAAGCAATTTACACAGAATTCTCTATTGCCCTTTTTCCTCCACCTTTTCTTATAGCCAAGACCCCTGTACTGCAGGATAAATCTGACCGTCCCTGTCCTGGACAGGTTCTTTAATGACCAGGACACACGGCCAGATTTTCGGCTGAGCAGGGAGTCCCTGAACGCACTGCTGGACCTCCTGGGTCAGGAACGGAGACATGGATGGGGTGCCACCATCGAGACCCTGGTGTTCCTCTTCTGGCTGGCATGTGGGACATCCTACAGGGTGGTCTCCAGAGCGTTTGGGATGCCTCGATCCACTGTTCACCGGATTGTCCACAGGGTCACTGGGGAGGTGGTGGCCATTCGCCAGCAGGTTATCCACCTCCCCAGGACAGCAGAAGACCTGGAGGCTGTGTTGCGTGGGTTCGCAGGGCTGGCCAGACACAGATCCTTCCGAAAAGCTGCTGGAGCCATCGACGGCTGCCATGTCCGCATCGTGCCACCAAGCGGCCCTGATGGTCACTGTTATAGAAATAGGAACCTTTTTCCCTCAATAATTCTGCAGGCAGTTTGTGACCATCGGGGCCGCTTCATTGACACGTACGTGGGCTGGCCTGGGTCGGTCCACGACTGTAGAGTGCTCCGCCACAGTCCACTGTACCGGCGGGCACTCTACCCTCCTCCAGGGCAGTACATCCTCGCCGACGGCGGGTACCCCTGCCTCCAACATCCACTCCCCCTCATCACTCCGTACAGACAGCCGCTGCAAGGTGTGGGACCCCAGCGCTTTAACAGCCATCACTCCCGGGCACGCTCTATCATCGAGCGTGCCTTCGGGATGATGAAGACCCGCTTTCGCAGCATCTTCCTGAAAGCGCTGGAGGTGCACCACACCTTCGTTCCTCAAGTAAGTTTTCACTCAACAGGATTTTGTATAATACAGAAAAACAGTTGAATGACCTAACATGACTTATTTTCCGGGGCTATAACATATTGCCAATTTTGCTATTTTAGGTCATTACAGCATGTGCTGTAATGCACAATATCTGCATCGGAGCCGGTGACATCATGGACCCCGATGCAGATATTGTTGAGGACGTGGCGGAGGATGAGGGGGAGGATGTGTTGGAGGCAGTCAGTGGTGCCCCTTGGCGGGACCAACTGTGTGCAGAGGTGTCTGCCCTGGAGGAGGTTCCCATGGACCACCAATATATATAAGGTATGTAAAACAATTGTAGAGCAGAGACATTTGTTATGGTGAAAATCATTTGGCAAATGTGTCTTTATTCATCTTTTCTTATTCTCTGTTTCTGAAAACTTCTTAGTGACATGGCAGCCGTCCATTGCGTCCGCCCTGCAAACCCACGCAATGGACAATTCGGTGGACAGTGGAGATAAGTAGCTCTGGAGACCTCCCAAGAGGATGGCCCACCACCAGAGGACACCAGGGTCCTAAGTGGCAGCCCATCCAGGTCCAGCAGCACCACCTGGGACTCCCTGCTCAGCCTGAATATATATAGTTAAACTGTTGTGTTTTATGCTGTTGTGTTTGTATTGTAGTGTTTTATGCTGTTGTGTGTTTTATGCTGTTATGTTATATATATGTCGTTAATAAAAAATAGAAATCATTTTTTTCAGTTGATGACATTATTTATTGTTGTGATAAACATTTATTTGTCCACAATTTTCTCCAGGATGGAAAACAGTCGGTCCATCCTCTCCCCATTCTCTTGGGCTCTCCTCTCCTCTGCCTCTCTCTGGTACCTCATATCCTCTTTTATGAGATCCACTAGTTCATCTCTCCCTTTCCTCTTTCTCCCCTGTGATGGCCCTGGCTGGCTATCTGCATCCGCCTCCTGTTCCTCCACTTCCTGGTCACCCACTGCTGCACTTGGCTGTGGTGTGTCCTCTGGGATGGAGGAAATTAGGACAGGAGGTGTGATGGAGGGCCTCTGTCCTAATACCTCATCCATTTGGACAAACCACAGCCAAGATGCGCGCACACACACACACACACACACACACACACACACACACACACACACACACACACACACACACACACACACACACACACACACACACACACACACACACACACACACACACACACACACACACACACACACTTTATACTTCTTCTTAAGGTTGTCCCACTTTTTCTTGGCTTGCAGGGGGGTCACCTTCCCCTGCAGGCCCATTTCTTCCAAAATCTTCCTACTCACAGAAATAATAGAAGAAGAAATGAACTATTATCAATAACAATAACTGAAAAAGGCTACATTTGGAAAAACTGACACTGCAAGACACACACAAATAATTAATAAAACATTTACTTAATGCTCAAAAGGCTGAGACATCACTACAGAAAAATACAAAGAAGAACATTGGGTATTGCTGCATTTAATTGTTGTTGTCTTGGGAGGGCTTTTTATAAAATGAGGGATAATTGATAAGAGTAAGAATGATACAATTGGTATATTGTGCCTTACCTCCATCCAACGCTGGCCGAGTTTTTGGCCCCCGTGAAGAGGGTATAATTTCCCCCCCTCAGCTTTATAAAAAGCTCCGTCTGTTCTTTGTTCCCTAAAACAAAAGCAATTGTAAGCAGATGAAAAGCTACCCCTTTGGCTATCATTTTTGTGTTGATAAGTATTTAAGTGGGATGAAACACTGTTACTCACATTTAAAGACGAAATCACTCGCTACTGCCTCGGTTGCGACGGTTGACGCCATTCTCTGAAAAACGTAACTCGTCACAAGCGCGCATTGCACCCTAGGATATGGTAGGCCGCGGAGTGTACATCAGATGTATCCTTCAAATTGGGGAAAAGTGGGCCGCATTTGTGGGCCGCATTCGGAGGAGTCTCGTCTTTTTTTGGAAGTATGCGGTCTACGAATGCACCCTTCGAAGGATGAAACCCCTGAATTGAGACACGGCCGCCGTGAAGAGAAAAGGTGGGGGCTGCGCGCATGTAAATTTGCAGCAGAGTGGACCTATCTCTAGCTCTGGCATTTGGAAACGAAAAAGCAGTTTTATTGCTTATGGATTATCAGAAATCATTTTAAAGAGGACACAGACACATTGGATTAACCTATGGATTAACTGCAGCATCGTTTTTTTATCGTTTTAATGCCATTGAAGACCAGTTTTGACCAAGGTAAACCATGTTAGCGTTTCTAGCTACCTAGCTCCACATGTTATGATGTACGCTTTCGTTTATAGCGTCGCAAATGTTTATCACTGAGTGTTGAGGTGGGCACCAAACGATTCTGTGTCTCCAGGCGATGCTAATCGATGGGTTGGCTGTGCATCTAGGATAAGTAATAAGGGAGTTATTGTGAGTTTAGGTGCCGTTTTAGGTTACATTTTTTCGCTCGTGGCTAATTCAGAGGCTGAGTGATAGCATTGTGGGTTTTTTTTTGGAAAAAGAAATTAAAAAGATCAGTTAGCTGAGTTTCTTCCCGTTACATGGATATAAAACATTCATAGTTTATTAAATATTAAGATTCCTTAGACGTTGTTTCCTGCAAATGACGCGTTTATCCGCCCGGTACCGGGGGGGCCGTGCGTAACAGGTTAAACTTAACAGAAGTCTGAATCTGGTTTTCTCTGATCAGAGCAGTGAACATTTTTCTAACCTATTTTATCATCTGATAATAATAGTAATAAATTGTATTTATAAAGCACCTTTCATTGCTAAAAGCAATCCCAAAGTGCTATAGTAGGCATAAGAAACAAATACAAGTTCTGAAATCTGAACAAACAGATTTAATTGTTAAAATATTTGTGATCAAATAATCAATACTAAGAATCACATGTACAGTCAATATGTTTTTAAACTAACTGCAGGCTCTGCAAATCCCCCTCCCCTGAAATTACATAATGCACCTTTGGAGATGCTGTCTTACCTTAGAAGGTAAGCTGGCGGCGCATCAACTCACTGGTCTCTGCGACCTTGTCAATGACATTGTCAATGTCAAGTCCCATAAGGATTTCCTTCTCTGTTGACATCAGCAAAAAAGCCTCAAGGCGGTCATGGATGTCCTGAGTCGGTTCTTCACAAATGTAAGGGTGGAGAAAGTCCTTTCACAGGCAACTTGTGTAACAGACAAGGTCAGTAAGAACTTGTATCCCAGTCCAATGATATGGTATGCATCTGTTAAGAGGTTGTAATGAGACAGGATGAGATGACAGCATATGGGACAGTTCTTACATGTGGAACAGCTTCTGTTCTCCAACTCCAGGCCCTCCTCAGGATCCACAGTCTGTCCACTCTCCCCAGGCAGCCCACTGACTGTTGATCCCCTGATGGTATAGTTATCCAAAGGTGACATCTTCAGTGTCTCCCATTGATTTGCAAGGCTAGTCAGTTCTGCCTGCAAGGTCCCAACCGTAGCCCGCTCATCAAATTTCAGCAGGCATTTGCTAAGCTCCTCCAGAGCCACTTTCTGTAGGCCTTTACTCCTTATTTGAGGGAGGTTTTTGGGATCCATACAGGCAAAGTCAGAGCACAGCACTGCATTGGCTGCATATCGACGCTGTAGGCTGTCTGTGACAGTGTCGAGGATGACATTATGTGCTTTGATCTTGTAGTTTCTCTCAGCATCTGAAACAGGCTCATCTTGTGCCACTTCACCTGGCATGGATTTCTTTTTTCTGACTCGTTTCTCTGGGAGGGCAGTCTGAACTTCCAAATCGCACTCATTCTGTTCCTGTAGAATGCCATTTGCCCACGCCACAAACTCATCTGCAGCTTTCTTAACCTGTTAAGCACGAGAGACCCCGGTACCGGGGCACTGCCGCAACATCTTGCAGGAAACAGTGTCTGAGGGCATGTTCATTTAATAAAACTATGAATGTTTTATATCCATGTAACGGGAAGAAACTCATCTAACTGATCTTTTTTTTTTTTTTTTTTCAAAAGAAAACCCACAATGCTAACACTGAGCCTCTGAATTAGCAACGAGCGAAAAATGCTAACACCTTACTGCACCGAAAATCACTCACAAAACCTTATTATTGATCTTTTCACCACATCCAACACATCGATTCACATCGTGAGGTGACACAGAATCTATTGACACCGACATTACCACTGAATTATACGTATTTGCAACGTTATAAGTAAAAACGGACATCAAAACAGGTGACGCTAGGTAGCTAAAAATGCTAACATTTTTACCTTGGCTCTGTAGTCTCTCCAAAGTGGTCTTCAATGGCATTAAAACGATAAAAACGCTGCTGAAGTTAATCCATAGGTTAATCTAATGTGTCTGTGTCCCTTTGAAATGATTTCTGATAATCCATAAGCATTAAAACTGCTTTTCCGTTTCCAGATGTCAAAGCTAGAGATAGGTTCACTCTGATGCTAAATTACATGCGCGAAGCCCCCACCTTTTCTCTTCACAACGTGTGTGTGTGGGGGACTCCCCCTTCGATTCTATTGGCTCTATCGGTCAGAAAGAGGTGTCAACCATCAAAATCGACCAAGGGGGGCCAGAGATATGGAAAATCCACCCAAATGACCCCAGAAGTGGTTTCTTTTTGCTAAATCTCTCTAAAAAGGTCAAATGTCACTTGTTTTGCATCAATCTTGATACAGGGTACTTATTATATGTTGTACTTTGGATTCCTAAAGCTTTTAGTCTACTAACCCATCATCCAAGGGTGGTTTTCACTATAAGTAAAAAAGAATTTTTGGACGGACACTATAATTTACAGTTTTTTACTATGTAAAATCTGAATTTTCTTTAAAATAAAAAACATCTATATTGATTCTGACTTTTCTACATCCAACTCACAGGTTTATCATTACTTTGAGAAAAAAGATTATTAATTTAACCCTTTTAGAAGGGAAGATATGGTCATTTGTTCTGGGAATGTCATTTTCGAGCCTGAGACCTGAAAAACAGGCTCAGGGCTTAACAGGTTAACACCATCAAAGTCCCTGGAACACTTTCTCAGGCTGTCTTCAGTTCCCTTCACCAAGTGTTGAGCAGTAAGAATGTCCATACCACTGGTCTGCAGATATTTTGATAGGGGGGAAGTCTGTTCAAATATCCGGAGAAAAACCTGTGCTGTAAGTATGGCTTCGTACCTCAGAAGTGCCTCAATGTATCCTCTGGCTTTGACTCTCACAGTAGGCTTCATAGCAGAGGTGGGACCAAGTCATTGTTTTGCAAGTCCGAGTCAAGTCTCAAGTCTTTGCGCTCAA